TAACCCTAACCCTAACCTAACCCTAACCTAACCCTAACCTAACCCTAACCCTAACCCTAACCCTAACCCTAACCCTAACCCTAACCCCTAGCGGTTGACCCTATAACGACTGGGGTTGACTGGGGTTTTCTAATTTGTACCCTCTACCCTAATGGGGGTCCTAATTTGTACCCTCTACCCTAATGGGGGTCCTAATTTGTACCCTCTACCCTAATGGGGGTCCTAATTTGTACCCTCTACCCTAATGGGGGTCCTAATTTGTACCCTCTACCCTAATGGGGGTCCTAATTTGTACCCTCTACCCTAATGGGGGTCCTAATTTGTACCCTCTACCCTAATGGGGGTCCTAATTTGTACTGTTCTCTCTTTTGGGACACCCTACGGGTTGGGTTGGGTCTCTCTTTTAATCTTTTACCTCTTCTTTCCCTTTTCGTCTCTCTCCTTCTTCGGGCCACCCTACGGCTGCTACGCATCTTGCCTTGTCTTCTATCTCTGCTTACCCTATTCTACTCTTGCCTCCGCCGGCTTTTCCATACCACGGGCCCACCGCCCACCCTCTACTTACCCCTACTTTTTCTCTCTCTCCTTCTTTGGGCCACCCTACGGGTTGGTCGGGTTTCTCTCATCTATCTTTCTGTCCTCTTTTCCTCTCTCTCTCTCCTTCTTCGGGCCACCCTACGGGTTGGTCGGGTTTCTCTTGTCTTTCCTTCCTCTTTTCTCTCTCTCCTTCTTTGGGCCACCCTACGGGTTATACGGGTTATACGGGTTTTTCTCATCTTTCTTTCCACTTTTCCTCTCTCTCTCTCCTTCTTCGGGCCACCCTACGGGTTGATCGGGTTTTGATCTTTCTTCTTTTCCTTTTCTCCCTCTCTCTCTCTCTCTCTCTCTCTCTCTCTCTCTCTCTCTCTCTCTCTCTCTCCCTCTCTCTCTCTCTCTCTCTCTCTCTCTCCCTTTGGGACACCTTACGGGTTGCACGGGTTTTTCGTCTTTTTGTTTTTTCTTTTCCTTTTCTTCTTCTGCTTTTTTCTCCCTGGGACACCACCCTACGGGTTGGCCGGGCATCTTGTCTTTTTCTTCCATCATTTCTCTTACGATACCTGCAGGGTTGGGTGCATTTGATCTTTTCTTCTATCATCATCATTTCTCTTGCGATACCTGCAGGGTTGGGTAGATTTGACCTTTTCTTCTCTTTTAATTATTCCTCTCTCTCAAGATACCTGCAGGGCCTGTCTCAGCCCCAATTCCGGATTAGATCACACAGTTTGCTGCTCTGGATCCATCCTTCCTCTATCCTCATTCCTACCTTGCTCTTCCTCCTTAACCATTCCACTATCAACGTGCCGGTATCACCATTCTCATCCTCTCCCAGCTCGCCCTCACCCATCATCCAATCCCATACCTCGTCCCTCGAACTGAACAACAACCCTAACGCTACCGATCTCAGTTCCTCTCGTACCCGATGATCGCCCCCGATCTCTCCCTTCTGTCCACACCACCCTTCGTTCCACAACTTCTTCCATTTGATGTACCTCCCCTCTGCCAAACTCATGTCTTTGCCGTCTCTTTTGTACTGCTCACACAGCATGCATGGTCTCCAGCATTTGTTGCAACCCGACGACCCTTCCATCTTCGTCCTGGCCAGTTTCCCATCCATCTCTTCCATTTTCTCTACCAGTCCTAACGTCTTGACCAGTGGACAAGTCCTCCATGACGTGTGCCTGCGCTCCGTCTTGCCCGATCGTGCTGTGCAAACCGTGCAACAACCTCTGTACATCGATAGCTTTGCTTCGAACCCTTCTCTGCTGCTGATATCCGAGCACATCGGACGTTTCGACACTCGGGGGATCTGTCTGCTGTGTTCCAGTTCTTCCACGGCTGTAGCTCGGGCTTCCGGGGTCTCTTGTCGTTCTCCCACTTCTGTTTCTGTTGCTGCTGCTGCTGGTGCTGTCGCTCTAGCCGTGGTGGCGGTTGTTGTTGTTGTTGTAGCTTCCATGGTCCCGGCATCGATCATGATAAAGTCGTCTTCATCCATGTCCAGATCCTCGAATGATGAAGTATCATCATCATCCTTGTCCTCCTTCTCCTGACTCTCATCACCACCGCCATCATCGAATTGCCTCATCCTCTCCCCACTCTTGTAAACCAAAAATTCCTTCACCACCCACATCGAATTGCTCATCATCTCTCCCCATATCCGCCTGTCTCTGGCCTGGCCGCACCACGCTGCGTAAGCCTTCCACCCCTCCTTCTCCTCTTCCACCACTCGATTCGGTTCGAAGCCGGCTTTTCGGATGATGTTCCTCCCGATCGGATCTCGAACTGCTGTCATCAACACCGGTACTGCTATGCCGGGCCACTGGCATTTTCGTTTGGCGTCTTCCCTGGTGTTGCACATCCTCTGGTTGATGCCGCACTTCCTGCAAGCCTTGCTCGCCTTTGCGTATTTGATCTGCTTCCGGAATGTGTCAACATCGACAATTGTCGTTTCGTCGGCCTCGTCTGTCACCGTCAGCTCTCGACTCTCGCACTCCCGGCCACCGTGCTCCAGATGTGAGTCTTTCTCTTCTGACTTCATCCAACACATCGGACAGCCGAGCTTCATCTCGTCTAGAGCCTCTTCGACCATCTCCTTTTCCAGCTCGGACTGCCTGACCAGCTCTGTACCTGCTGCCACCATTCCACCACCACACCTGTCGCACGGAGCTTTGGGGCGTGATGCTGGCGGCTGCCGCCATTACTACAGTTCGTCTCGCTCTCGGTCTCGCTGTTGTTGTTGTCGCTGCCGCTGCTGCTGCTGTCGTGACACTCCTGGATCGTTTCTGCCGCATCGAAGTACTTGCCTAGCACCAGCCTTCGACAACCCTCCGTCTTGATGTACTCCATCATCGCTGCTCCGTCCGGTCCGAGTGCCTCGTTGTAACGCTCCCGCGTCCCTTGCTCTTCTTCCTCCCACCCTTGCTCCAGCAGTACGATCGAGTCCACTCTCTCGTTGGGATCTCGACCCGCTCTGCCCGATGCTTGGGCGAACTCGATCAGTCCGTATGGCAGTCCCGAGTGGATGACCGCCTTGACGGCCTCGTAGTTGAGTCCGGTGCTGAGAGCTGTCGTCGACACGATGAAGCCGCCGTTCGCCTTCCACTGCTCTAGCGTTTCCCCGCCGTCGACGTGTCCGGCGTAGAAGAAGCCGCAGCCTAGCTTTTCCGCCATCTCCTCGCAGTCTTTCTTGCTTCGGCAGTAGACGACGGCCTTCTCTTTCCTGGTGCTCCGTAGCTCGTCGGCGACCTCTTCGCACACTCTGGCCGTCTCTTCGACCAGCTTGCCTTTGCCGATGTCCTGTCTGACGGTGTAAGTGATGTTCTCCCTCACCGTGCATGCTCGTATGAGCGACATCATTCCGATGCCGATACCTAGACTTCGTCGTAGCTCGACCTCCATGTACCTTGGGAGTGTGGCCGTCAGCATCACCATCGGTACTCCTAGTGACTTGAGCTTCTCCAGCTCCACGAGATGCGGTCTCCAGCTGTGCGAAGTCACCAGCAAGTGGCACTCGTCCACCACCACTCGTCTCAGTCGGCCCTGCTCCGCCATCTGCCGTGCGTACGACCAGAAGTGATCGTGCATCTTGTCCACGCTGACGACCACGAGAGCTGCTGGATCGACGGTGCTGTGACTCCATTCTTCACAGTCACCCACCGTCTTTTGTGCTTCTCGCACCGTCTCGTCGATGAGCTTGCGGAACGGTACCACCACGATGGTCACCCCGACGTCTTCTTCCAGACAAGCGGGTGCGGTGAAGAGTAGAGTCTTGCCTCCGGCTGTCGGCAGAACGACGGTGAGAACGTTGAACCCACCGTCCATGATTCTCCCGAGCGCTTCTCCTTGTGCTTTCGATCTGTATCTGATCGTCACCGCGTCGTCGTCCATTGGTTTCTTGAGTGCTTTGCGTATAGCCCTCTCCTTTTCCTGTGCCGTCGGTCTTCTGTAGCGTTGCAGCCTCTCGCGCCTTCTTCGGCTTCGTTCGATGATCGGACTGTCGTCTATGTGCTGCTGCAGATGCTGTTGGTGGTTCCTGCCGCTGCACCTTGGAGAGTACCTGGATTCGTCGTGGTGGTTGTCATCATTATCGTCATCGTCGATGTAGATGACTTCGTTGCTGTCGTTCTTGTCGTTGGCATCATCGTTGTGTGAGTCGTGCCTGTTTCCCTCTGTCACCGGGGTCGGCATTCCGTTGTTGTTGTTGTTCGAGTAGATGCCCAAGCCAACGATGGGGGTCATGGGTTGCTGTCGTCCCTGCTGCAGCTCCTCTCCTCGAAGTCTTGTCAGTTCGAATTCTTGTGCCTTGAGCTTCATCCGCAAGTCTTCGATCTCCTTCTGCTGCCTTTCGGATTGTTGTAAGAACGGTGAGAGATCTACTGTCGTCGGAGTGGCGGCAACAGTAACAGCTCCTCCCTTTGCCGCGGGCAGTCTCTTGATCAATCTCTCTTTCTGCAATCCTTCAAAGTCGACGGTTTGCATCCCATCGTCTTTGTTGCTGCTGCTCTCGGCCTTTCTTTTCCTCTTCGGATCTCTGTGGTCGAGCTCGAAAAACCTGTGCCAGCTTTCGCTGAGATCGCCGAAGATGTCGATCGACTCTTGGTTGAGATACTTCAAGATGTCCGCTCTGACCGCGTATCTGCCGGCTCCGGTGCCGAAGCCGCCGGCTTTCTGTAGCTCGATCGCGTTGCCCTCCTCGAGATCGTCATCCATATCACCCGCCTGGGCTTCTTCCGGATCTTCGGCCTCCTCTCGGTAGCCTTTGGCGAACCTCGGTCCGACGAATCTCCTGCCTAGAAAGACGGCGGCGTGTCTGTAGTTCTGGGTGTGTAGCTTGGCCTTCAGTCGTTTGGCCGTCTCTCGTTTCATCGTGTCGGTGAGCTTCTGCGTCTCCCACGGGCCGTGCGAGTCCGCCCAGATGTAGTCACTCCATCCTTGACCGTACTGTACCTGCACCGACAGCAACTCGGCGAACGCCCGCACGTGGGTGAGATAGATGACCGCGATCTGACCTAGTTTCCACGGCAAGAAGCGTGGCACCATCTTGGGCATGTCGAGCATTGCTTGTGACTTGTGGTAGCTCGTCACCGTCATCACTCTGCCGTCCAAGACGAAGACGTTGCGGTGGTTGGCCACTCCGTTGCGGAAGCGCAGACTGGTGATCTCGGTTCCTCTGGCGGGCTGGCCGCTCAAGACGTGCACGCAGAATATGAACAGCTCCCTGAACTTGTCCACCCTCCGGAGATAGTTGGCCACCAGTCTCGACTGCCACTGGTCACCTCTGCGCATCTTCTTCCCCTGGTTCGAGCCTAGCATCCTCTTCAACATCCAGTCGAGACCTTGTGCTTCGAGATCCTGGTTCGGGTCGGCACCGAAGTACCAGCCTCTCTTCTTCACCGTCATGTCGTCGGTGATGCTATCGAGATCTAACACGAAGCGATCTGCCTTGCGGCCTGCCCACATGAGATCCCTCCACATGTAGTCTTCGCAATCGTCTAGAGCGGAGCGTGCCATGGACTTGAAGTTGTACACCGTGAACTCGATGCTGCCGAGAGCGACGCCGGCTCCGTCGTGAGTCCAGNNTGCAGCTTCCCCCTGGGCGTGGAAGTTCTTTGCGATCTTCTTTCCGTACGCTAGCAAGCTCAACATCTCTCCCATCACGCTCATCGATCCGTCGGCTAGAAACTCTTTTCTCTGCTCGAGAAATGCCTCGAAGTCGGCCTCCCCTTGGTTTTCGCGGTCGAGTGATGGGAGCAGAGCTTCGGCGGTCACGATCCTGGACACGTACACCAGTCCGGCGATCATGTAAGAGTAGTCGTTGCCATCGCGTAGCCGAGCGTTGGTCTCGTCGATGCCCATCACGGCCATGAAATGGATTAGAGCGCTGTCGAAGCGGTCGTTCCACACCTTTTGNAACAACAACACCCGACTGAGCTCTACCATCGCTGGGATTTGATCGTCTTCTACGGATGATGTGTCTCCCTCGAGAACGATCAATCTCCACACCTCCTCTAATGCTCTTTCGAGTTGGTCGTTCCATGGGAAGAGCCTCCGAGCATCGTGCATGTGATCTTGTGCTTGCCGTCTGCCTTGATCGTGTTGTGGATCTGTGTCGGAATTGTCGTCGTCGTCGTCGTCGTCGTCGGTATCAGTGTTGGTGTTAGCATTGTACACACTGTTTACCTCATCAGTGTTGGCGTTAGCATTGTACACACTGTTTACCTCATCGCTGTCGCTTTCGGTATCGTCATTGTTGCTGCCATCGCCACTTGACTCGCTGTCCGTGGCTTCGTGACGAGTGCACCATACTCGTAGACAGTAACAAACCATTCGCTTCCAGTACCCGGTGTACCGTTCTTGACTCTCTGGATTCTGCAACCGGGATAGCGGTCTCACGTCTGGCTTGTGCATCTCTGCACTTCGAAGCCAACGACGCAAGCCTTCCGGCATCGAGCTCAGTCCTGAGACACCCCTCTCGACCATCTTCTCGATCACCGCTGCTACCTTGAGTAACGCTTCTTCATCCTTCTCGGGCAGCCGGCTGGTGTACGAGAGATGGGTTAGATTGCAGTTCTTGAGATGCTCTCTCCATCTTGTCTTGTTCCACCATCCGGTGTTCTCGCATTTCTCAACCCTGTCTGCTAGTATCTCCTGCTCTTTCTGCCATTGCTCTTTTAACTTCTGGAAGTCATCTTTGATGCCGTCGAACTGGATCTGCTTGGCTCGGGGAGTGATTCTCCGACACTTGCTCTTTCCCTATCGATCTGATCGGGTGTCTTGACGACAAACCACTTTTGTTTGCCTGAACTCTTGCAAAACGTCTGGATGTAGACATCTTTCCAGCACTGACGGTCTTCGTCAGTAGATTTCCAGCCGTGTGCATTACGACAGTGTTTGCCGATGTTGGTACGGTCGCTGGTGGTGAAGCCGCAGTGACTGGGGGAGTCTGTTGTTGTCGATGCATCCCCTCGTACGTCTTGTTCGCCGGCGGTGTTGTCCTGGTTGTGGATGCAGTAGTAGCCTGGGATTGGCTTACACAGATACTCAATTGCCGGCTGTCCTGGCTCGGGTAGACGGACTGTGGATGGGTCTGGCATGTTGCGTCCGCTGTGATGCTGTCTTAGTGCAGCCCTTGCCTTCTTCGACGTAGAAGTGTAAGAAGTATGGACCAAGCGCAGATGGCTGTCTAAGCCTCGCACTGCGTAGCCGTGTTCCTTGCAGATGAGAACTTCGTGCTCTGCTAGATAGACGTAGTTCGACATGGCTGCTGCGATTTCTTGCTGCTCTGTCTCCTCAATACTGCCTTCTTGACGCGTCATGACTCTAGCTGTGTCGTCCTCGCCGGCTGGCTCTAGAGCGTATTCGGTCAACCGATATGCTAGCTCCATGTCTTCTGGCTAAATGCAAGTCGAGATGGATAATTGTATACTTTCTCTCTTGCTGGATCGTTCATAAGAGAAGCTTAGTGTACGTATGGAACGATGAATAGTGGCAAGAAAAGATAGAGCAGAGAAACAGAACGGAGCGAGAGATTCGCCGACGCGTCTTACCCTTCTCGTAGTGTCTCTTATCAGAGAGCTGTCGCGGAATACACACGCAGAACCTTGCTTGTAGCATTGTGCGACCTGTGGGCTGATCATGCGATAACTATGCATCTTACTTGCTGATGGTTTGCGATATCTCATGAGAATGGTCTAGCGGGACACATGTCTGTCCAATGGGGTGCGGGGGGCTAAGCCTGGGACGCCTCCACCCTTGTCAAATCTAATATATATGCTTCGCGTTTCCCCGCCACGCTCTTGCGTTTCTTCAGAATTCAGCTTAGCGTACTATCTTTCTCTTCCACTTTCTCTTTTCCCCCTCTTTTTGTTATCTTACACCTTGCTTTTCTCTCTTGCGCGATTTTCCTGTCTTGCTCGGGCAGGGTGGATCTACATAAGTTTGGCAAAGAATCGAATAGTAGTTGTCACTGCAACTGTAACGATGGCGGGTGTGAAAAATGTCCGCACACGTGTTCTCTATCGACTTGAACCAAATTCTGTCGGTGCTGTAGCGACCGCGGATCTCCAGAACGATGTCGCTTCTCCACAGCGCCTTGTCCGCGACGCTTCGCAAGTGCCGTCAGCGGTGCCTCTTGCACCTCGGCCCTCTGCACTTCCTAGCACGCAAGCGGTCGCCGGACCGAGCGCCCCTACGGCGTCTCAAGTGCAACGTCAACACCAATCCCTTCGAGCTAGAGCCGATGCTGGAGAGACCGAAGCTCGGCTCCAGATGATGTCGCCGGCCGATGTCGAATCGGAACTGCGCAACCAGAGACTCCCAGACAAGCCTGACGTCTCGATCTGGGACTATCTGAACAACCCCGGTCCCGATGTCTCACCTATACAAGCCGCGAGCGACCTGCTTGCTGCTGCAGCCGACCGAGCGGAGAGCGCTAGTGTCCAAGCTGCTTACATCTGGCGATGGGTGAAGATCAACAACCTGTGGGACACTCACCCAGACCCAAACCTTCGTAGTGAACAAGCTTTCATTAACAGTGTTGCTAATCACAAAGTGGTCAAAGTCATGGTCGTCGTTGGCACCTCTGCTCAATGGTCTAAAGAGAACCACCAGCAATCCATTGCTGAGATATGGGGCGACAACTGGCTTGATACTATTCCTGCTTCAATGAGACCTGCCGAGTCTGTCAAAGACCTATCTAAGAGAATGCTGAGTGAAGTGGCCATCACTAGTGCAAACGTGCCAGATCAGCAACAAGCTGTGATCGGTTGGCGTTGTGCTATTGAGAGACGTCTTGATCCTGCAAACCGTCCTCCTCGAACGCGAATCTTGAAGACTCGTAAGCTTATTCCAGAAGATGTCAAGTTCTTCAACAGTACCATGAATGCATCCGCCTCGAGCGTTCGGGAAGATGTGCTAGAGCTGATGCCTGTGGTCCCGACAACACCGCAACAGCAGCCGACTTCTGCTATCCGAACAAAAGACAGTTCCCGGAAGAGAAAGCGCATAGAAAACGATGATCTTACTATCGCCAATCCTGATTTGGAGCCAAGTGATGGTACAGATTGTCTGGATAATGGTCCTCAAGACGTAGCGGAAGCTACGAATACAGTACGCCGAGACGGCGAGTCTCGAATCAAGAGAATCCGTGGCCATCGGATCATTGAACCAGTCACTCCACCTTGCGAGTCTCCTGCTGCTGGCCTGTCGCAACTGTTAGATGAAATTCCCTTAAGCAGTTTTGATAACGAAGCGGTGACATCGGCTGATGGTTCTGATAATGCGACAACCTGTGATGGCCCTGAATTCGCTCGCATGTTTGCTAAATTTGCTGAGATCCACGCATATTTCGAGAAGCATGGCACCTCATCATCGAAACTTGTCCGTAACTGTTGTGACTCCTGTCGCGACTATACGCTTCGTGCCCTAGCATGTCTGAAAGCAGATCTTATACCTTCAGTGGCTGGTATTGAGCAAGTCAAAAACATATATTTGGTGACCGGGAAGTGGTTCCAGGCCGGACGCTCAATGGGACCACTCAAGAACCTACTCCTCACTTGCAAAAATCTAAACGCTTGCTGCGAGTGGTTCAAGATTCTTCTGACGAAGAAACTGAAGAGTTCACTATATAGATCACAAATTTGACCATATATCTTACTCCCAGATCTTTGGTGTTAATGTTGTTGGGGTGACCTTGCATGCCTACAAGAAGTCGGGTGGAGTTGCGGGCGCAATTCTTGGCAAACTTCGAAAGTCATACTTGCCATATTTTGGACAACGATACTCAACAAGTCGCAGCCAGAATCAGAAATCTAAATGGTGCAATTGCCTTTGTATCATATTAACTCATCTCTACCATAGTTTTACAAATATTGAGTCGTGTTCATACAACTTACAAGATCGGGGTTCTACTACGGGTTCAACTTCACTTCTACCCCGCCAAGCGCCGAAAGCATAACCCCGCGAAACCCTTTTTAGACGGGCTGTAGTGCAACCCATGGATTCTATTAGCTAGGTATGGTTCCTATCAGCTAGGTGTATCGACTTCTTGTACAAACGACAAAAGCTTCTCTCCTTTAGCTAGAAGCCGATCGAGCAAGGCACCTTGCTTTGGTGTGAGTTGATGTGCGAGCTCGATGCCCTGATTAAATGCTATTGTCCGACAGACAAAGCAGATCAAGCGCTTCCATAGGCCCTTGTACTGACGATAAGATGCTTTTTGTAACTTGACCATGAGTGGTCGGTCAAAGGCCCGTGGACGCTGCATAAAGCTATTAATCCTTGTTTGATCGAAAACGTTGATCTTGTCCTGGCAGATAGACTCGTATGCTTGCTCTACAATCCGATCTAAGCTCTCTCCTAGCTGGAAACATAAGGGCCTCCTTTGTAGGATCCGCAAGGTGGGCGAGCGGTGCTAGGGTGGCAAAGGCGTGACCGTTCACATACCTAGTCCATCTTGTCATCTCTAACCAAGGAGAGGAATCAACTTTCGTCTGGCCTTGATCACTAATCTGTTGACAAGACAAGCGGTATGTCTCCTCTTTCGATTCAAGCGTAGATAGGATGTGCAAGGAGATTGTGTCTTTTCAGATCTGAAAACTCCAGCTTGTCCGCGAGGATCATTTTGTCTTAGACCTAAAAGCTGAGGTGTTTTAGGGTTCACCTTGAAGAATCGTATCCAGAGGTTGTTACGGAAGAACGTCTGGCAGCAAGAACAACTTTCCCACGGGACAATCCAAGTCTGTGCTGCTTTTACACGCACATCGCCACCTCTTTTATTTGGGTTTACCCACTTATGGACAGATTTGCAATGCTGCTGCATCCTAGCAACCGACCTGCATATATAACCACACTGCCGGCCGGCGCTATCAAGGCTTGTACACATGAGCCCGTCTTGATACGTTCTGAGGCACTCGATAGGCTCTGCATCTGGATCTGGGTATATAACGTCCTGGGCGGATCGCGCGACAGAGTCGCCTAGATCGTCGATGATGGACTGGATTCCTCTGATCGATTGACTACTGACGGGCGAATGCTGAGCTCGCAAATGGCTTTTGATTGCCTGTGGAGGGACTGCAAACCGACACGACCTGCAGATTATGATTTTGTATTTTGGCAGATGGGTAAGATAAGCATCGAATTCGTCCTTAGGAAACAACATGGATGACGACTGACGAAAAGAAGCAGCTTAGAGTTTGATGGCAATCAATATGAAGTTAGAGGGTAGGCATGTCCAAAAGATGGCTTAAGGTAAGGTAAGAAATGTCTAAGAAGTGTAGAACGCGTAGTGGTCAGGACGCGATGCGCGCTATCCGGCGCGTGGAACTAGCGCGTCAGCTTGAATGCTCTAGCAACCCCCAGATGCCGGAGATACACTATGCTATTAGCAGCACGATGTTTCTTTGCTAGAAATAATTTGCTAGATGGTTAGATGGTCAAGATGGAATCTTGAGATGTGGATAGCTTAGAAAATATGGTCTAACGAACATGCAAAGGTGTATAGAGGCCATGAGGTTGTGTGCATTTGAAAAGGTTCGATGTTGTGGCAAAACTCCAGAGGAAGGGTCAAAATGTTTGAAAGGTCGAATTGTTCGTGGCATGGAGGTGAGGGGAATTTATTGGGACACCTTACAATTTATTGTGAGGATATACGAATTTAAAGCAGCCGAATCGAAGAACTACACGAGGAGACGTCGTCGCAACGGTCGCAGGTGCGATGGAAAGCGACGCCAGCTATGGGGATGCGGGGGAAGCTCGAAGCTTCAGCCTTGGCACCCCAACGGGCGCAGGTATGGCTAGAAAGACGAGATCAGTAAGGAGAGGCTCGAAGAGGATGAGGGAAGAAACAGAGGCGGACGAAATTCGAGTCGGAGACCCGGTTATCTTCAATAGCGCAGGCAGGATCAGCAACGCAGAACTGGTGAGGGCGATTGTCGACGAGTTCAACAGAGCCCAGGCCACACAGGACGCAAAGTACAACGCCGCAATCCGAGAGATTCAAGGCGCGCACATCGACCAGATTAAGAATATCACCCAGAAAATCAACGAAAAACACCATGAANGAAACCGAAGGAATCTTCAAAAACACCAGGAAGAAACCGAGAAGATCGTTAAAAAGCACCACGAAGAAATTAAGAAAATCACCGAAAAACACCAGAATGAACACCAGAAATTTACAAAACAGGTTCAGGAACTCCAGAAGCAACTAGAGGACAGCAAGATTAAAGAAATGAACGAAGCGATCTATCGGATGGAAGAACAGCTAACACAGCTGTCTATCGCCGGATCCGCGAGTCCCACGGCCACGACCAACTCGCCATCGACTCAGCCCCGTAGGACATGGTCTCAAGTCGCAAGCCAGAAAGGACCGAGTCTCCAGCACTCGGCT